TCTGACAGACCCATATTCTAGTGCCTGTACCAAGGAAAGCTACCACACTTTCCTTTTACCTCTTTGGGTAATTTGGTACAATGCACATCATCAGTCCAGAAATGGGTTCACAAGGATTGCTCATTGCTTGGCACCTGGCCAATTTGCCAGTCAATAAATGCAGTAAGTAGAGGCACTTGGCTTTCAGATGACCTCGACCAGGGTATTTGCATAGCATGTAGCCTCTCTTCTATTTTTAGGGGAGAGCTGCAACTGTTTGTTAAATGGAGATTTCTTCCTCTTAGACTAGAATAAGATGGAGTTAGCATGGTGTAGCAGGGTGAGGCAGTGGCTGTGCTGAACCGGTGCCTAGCCGAGGTAATGGGCTGGATGAGGGCCAATAAACTGAAGCTCAATCCAGACAAGACGGAAGTCCTGTTGGTTGGCGGATCGGGCTTCGGATAGGGTGAATTGAACCTAGTCCTGAACGGGGTTGCACTCCCTCTTAGGGACAAGGTTCGCAGCTTGGGAGTGCGCCTCGACCCAGAGCTTTCACTGGAAGCTCAGGTGACAGCGGTGGCGGAGCACTTTCTTTCAGCTTCGGCTGATCCATCAGCTGCACCCCTACCTGGAGTACGACTGCCTGGCGACAGTGACACACGCGTTGGTGACTTCCTGCCTTGACTTCTGTAATGCGCTCTACGTGGGGCTACCCTTGAAGATGGTCCGGATACTTCAATTGGTTCAAAATAGAGCTGCCAGGCTGCTGACGGGGACTGCGCGTTATGTTCACATGACTCCAGTCCTCCGTCAGCTTCACTGGCTTCCCATTGAAGTCTGGGCCCAATTCATGGTGTTGGTGATGACCTATAAAGCCCTTAACAGCTTGGGTCCTGGTTACCTGAAGGAGCACTTACGTCCATATATGCCCGCCCGCCCCTTGAGTTCTGCGGGAGAGGCCCTTCTCCGGGAACCCTCCGTGAAGGAAATTAGGAGGCTAAGTACCTGGAGGAGGGCTTTCTCTGCGGTGGTGCCCAATCTATGGAATGCGCTTCCCAGAGAGGTCCGCCTGGCGCCGTTGTTATTTGTTTTTCAGCGCCAGGTGAAGACCTTTTTATTTAAGCGTCATTTTAATTGTTAATATTATTTGCTTATTTTATCTGGCCAGGGCGACTTATTTTATATTGTTATTTCTTGTATTTTAATTTTATGTTGTGAGCTGCCCCGAGGCTTCAGCGAATGGGGCGGCATAGAAATGTTTTAATTAATTAATTAATTAACTAACTATTTCAGGCTGACCATAACAGATTACTATGTGGTGGGAAAAAATAAACAAACAGGTAAAACCAGTCTGTTTGTCTTGACCTGTAATCTGACGTTTGGCTCACTTCCTTGAAAAAGCGGTCTGATTTTTACTACCGGAGGTGCCCTCAATATGACAGCATGGCACAGCATGGTACACTGTGGAAATGAGGAGCTAGAACAGGGCTAAAAACCACTCTTCTGAAAAGTATTCAAGAAAGTGGCATCCTTTATTCAATCTGAGTGTCCTAGCTATACATAGATCTCATGAATGCTAAAGATTTGTACAAGTAACATTAGCAGTACCAAGTTCCATTAAATGTTTTTGGCCCAGACCCTTCCCCTTGAAAGTGAAGGAGGGAAAAAGGCCACTGCTAAATATGACACACCTGTCACATTCCTTCTGAAAACTGTCTAGCAGCCCAAAGAGGTACACATAATTACTTGAATTGCAAACCTGGGTAAGAATGGGTGACTATCAAATGGGCCAATTAACAGACAGAAAAAAAATAGTACTGTGAAAAGGCAGAAAGGAACTTACTACACTTACTATACAGCTCCTAGTAACTTAGTAGGAAATTTGACATTACACTTTCTTCAGGGAGCCGGATAACAGAAATGGATGAGGATAGACTTATAAATCTGTCACATGTGTTATTATTGCATATATACATTAAATTAGCTCGTGGTTTTTTTAAAAAGGTTGGGTGGATTTTACTTTTCTATTCTTTGTTCTACATTAATTTATGACTATTTATTCAATTTCTCTTTCCTGTGTTTAAGTAAAACATTTTATCTTGAATTTTATTTGTTCATGTATTATTGTTGTAATTAGTTACTTTGTAAAATGTTGTTCTACACTGTAAACATCCTAGAGCACTTTTCCAATAGGAAAAGTAAAAATAACCTAAATATAGAAATAAATAAAATATATGAGTGCAGTCAATGGGCAAATTATGCATTTCCCCACTGCCACCAACAAACTAATATCTACCTATGATATTTACACTGGCACAAATGGAACTTTCATTTTCTTTTCAGATTAAAGTCTGGATGTAAATTAAAATTTTATTTTGCAGAGAGGAGAAACAATATGTGGACATGAATCTTTGTTGATTACATCTCCATCATTCTGATTTTATAATTACTGAATGGAATACTGAAAGGAATCAATCAGCTTTCAGTTGTTACCTTGGTGAAAGATTAAAACATCGTTATTTGTCATACATATTTCACACTTTAGCAAATTTTAATAAACTGAATGCATGAGAAATAGTGGTATTATCTTTCAGGGCAGCAGGACTCTGATGACATTTCTATTGATTTTAATTCATATTTGTTGGTCAGAATTACTCAGATTCAAGCAAGGCACAGTGTCTCATAATTATCACTAACAAATGAAGACCGCAGAACATCGAAACAGCTAAAATGAAATCATTAATCAAAAATACCATAAAATAATTGCCTGCAAGTTAGGGAGGTCTCATCTTCCTAATCACCATATTTTATGGTATATTGATCTGTTTTTAATTTGTACATGTTGGCAATTTCTCAATCAGAATATTAAGGAGAAGATTTTAAATAATCATGACAAAATGGGCATGCTGGGATGGGGGAGAGAGAGTCTGCCAATGGAAGGAACACTGCCAGGGGATAATGCTTGAATGAATTTGCATATGTTACAGATGGACATATACACCAACTCTCCTTCAACCTGCAGATTTCTTTGCCTACTACTCCCATTATGCCTAAGCATCAGCCATGCAGTTTGGGACTGATGGAGCTGAAGTCCAAAACATCTAGAGGGCACCATGCTGGAGCAGTCTGATGCGCATATATTTACAAATGTGTGTGTGCGCGCGCGCACACACACACACACACACACTTCTCCCAAAGTTACAAACAGAACCATTTCAGATGTTAGTAAATTTCCAGAGTCATCTGTATGGTGTATCAAATCATTCTGGTCACATCCTTTAAAGAAGGGGTCAATTCTGACACAGAGGTATAGCTAAAAACACTCCAAAGCTGTCCTAACCATAAAGCTGCATCTCCAGCTAACTGCCCCACCCTTCTCTGGCTGATGAATTTATGTTGTGGTAACTGATTTTGCCTCCCTTCCTACATTCCCTTGAAGTTAGGGTTATAATTAAGCCCTCCTTTGGAAAGGATGATGTAAAAGGAAGAAATTATTTTTGCCTACATATGTGTTCACTAAACTGTTTCTTAGGTAACTGCATTTCAGCCACATACCTCACTTATTCACAAATACACCCATACAAAAAGAATGTTGTGACACCTTAAAAGCGAACATTATCTGCTGTGGCATAAACATTCTTGGACTAGTCCATGTCCATGGACACAATATTTTTATTTATTACATTTCAATAAACCCATTAGCTGAAGCTCTCTTGATGCTCGACTGGCAACAGAGATATATACAAACATAAATATACTCTGTGTGTGTTTGAGGGATGAATCAGTTTATATCTGGCCCACGTAACTTTCAAAAGTATTGAATCATTACTGTACTTTGTCCAGTCATTCTGCATTTAAAAATGCATTTCTATTATGCATCTTTCTCTAATATATACATGCATGAATTATTACCTAGAGTTAGTACATATTAGGGAAGAAGAGGAACTGTATACAGTAAGATCAGAAGGAACTTATATGCAGAAAGAACTGACAGTGACAATCACAATATTAACAGCGGCCATGTGCAAACTAGTTGCCGCTGCTAAAACAAACAATCTGACACTGGGTAAACCAATTAACAGCAGGATTTGAAAACCAAAATAAAGCAAAGAAAAAAACCCTGTATCCCAGTTCAAACCTCTGCAGACCATATAGACACTGTCTGGGAGTCAGTAATAAGAATAATAAGTAATAAAACTAATAAATTCTGTCATTTTTCTAATTTTATTGTCTGCTGCTGGATTTTTAAAATTATTTTTATAATTTTGTTTTATTGCTCTGATTATATGCCACCCAGAAGACTATATTATGGGGTGGCATATAAATACTGCAAATAAATAAAAGATGTAAACCACTATTTTAATTCCGAATTATTACATAAAAGCAATGTCGCAGTAGCATTCAATGTCTTCTAGTATGGATGCAACCTTAGTCCTCCATAAAAGAGTCATCTAAAACCAAACTCAAAAACTGCTTCAAAGTTTACAGTAATGTTTGACTTTGCGTGTAATAACAGGAGCAAGGATCGCATATGCGCAATGTTGGAGAAATGAAGAGCTCGACCGACTGAAGATTTGATCTTGAATAAGATATTGGACTGTGCAGAAATGGACAGACTGACTTTATCTCTTAAGGAAAAAGAAGATACAGTTTACTACCAAACATGGGACTTTTTCTATCAATGGCTACAGAATTGGAACTCTAATATGGGCTAAAATACATAGCATTTTGCAGAGAGAAATAAGGCTTTGCTCACAGTATGTCTGAAGTCTTTAGAATAATTATTTGTTTAGTGAGTAGAAAACCATAAAACTTTTGAATTTAAAAGTTTACAGTAATGTGTTATACATTCTAAATGGCAGAATGAAGCATATTTTAAAAATCAAATACGAGAGGTAACACCAGGCATCTGAAACCAGGAACTAGGAAAGGGTCAAAGATCAACATTACTCACCACTGCTAAGGGTTTTGATATGTTTTATTGACATTTTTGAGAACTATGTATTTTGTAAGGTGGTGTGGCATTATACCTTATGAGTCATTCCAAAAAGCACAGAAGAGCTTAATGCAGGAAGTAAAACTGCCATCTATAATTGAAATTGGAGCTATTATCATTGGAAAGTACATTTCTGTTTAAACTAACAGGAAATTAGACATTCCCCCTTCAGTGTTATTGTTTACCTTATACTGGAGGTATTACATTATATGGGAGGTGGTTTGGATCCCATCACTGAGGGTCTTCAAGGAAAGATTGGACAACCACTGGTTGGGTATTACATGAGTGGAGTTAGCTGGAGCCAGGGGTCAGACTAGATGGCTCCGGAGGATCCTTATAACTCGCTATGTTTCTGTGAAAACAAAGAAAACAAACACCATAATTGGCGCAAATGTAGAGTGATTCTAAAGACAGATATATAAACTATCTGTATTATAATTTGTAGCTTCTAAGTAGTGGCAATCTGACTGCGTGTCACATTTACTTTGGGGCTTCCAAGGTCCCCATGGGCTTGGACATGTTGTATATGTACTGCCATGTACAAACATCTTTACCTATCCCAAACATGATCAGCACTTTCAGATATTACTGTTCCAAATACAGTCCATTTACGGGTGGGCAGATTTATTTCCCCTCTCCCAAAAATAGGTGATTGGTCAATTGCATGGGTCCAGGTCCCTTGCACAGTTTGAGATCCAGCGGGGTATCTGCATATGCCTTAATGGATTGGGGCACATCCTGGACACAAGTTAATCTGGAAACTGAATAACTGCCAGGGTCCTACTTAAGCCCCTCTGAGACTTCTTCCTCCAACCTCCAACTATGAAATATTTGTGATTCATCATCTAATGTGTCATCTTCTTCCTCATTCTGAAAGGCTGAAATGGCTCTAATAAGGTTTAGCTCTTTGCAGCAAGTGTGCTAAGCTAAAAGAGGCTAGTGTGTTCTTGTTGTTTGCATTTTCAACCAAGCCCCTTCCGCTTTTGGTTCTGACTTCTTTGCTTTTGGCCCAGCTCACCATTGGAATGTGGCCTCTAGGAGTTTCACCAAAACAGAATTTGGTCCTTTCCTCCCCCTGCAATAAAATACTGAAATGTTTCTCAAATTGGATTCCTAGTTGATCTGAACTGTATTTTATCAGCCATCGATTGACCATCACTGAGATTTTTCAAAACCCCTTTGCCACAAGCACAACTTTTTCACATTTATAGTAAATAAATGTGAACTAAAGGATGCCACACCTTGTTTACTTAGAGCATGCAACATATTTTTTTTTTTGCTCACAAAGTTAGTTTCTTTAAGAAAGGGAGGCTCTAAATAACAGAAGTACAAAATGATAGTGAAATATATTGCTAAACATTTAGGGATATGTAGTGGTAACTTTTACCTTCAGTAGTGGTAACATTTTTCTTTTTTTAATAGGACAGCCCATGAAAACTGATAGTATCAACAGAATAATACAGAGTTCCCTAAACTAATGCCCTCCAAATGGGTTGAACTAGGCTTCCATCATCCACAGCCTCTCTAGCTAAGTTGAAATGGACTGGTCTCATGTATTTGCTTCTAGGCAGCAAAGCCAATCCTACATTTAAAATGTGGGCTTCTCTCTCTGCTTTGTACAAGGGAAAGAATAACTTGAGCAGCTCAATCTTGCTCAGAAGTAAGTCCCATCAAGCTCAGTGGGGCCCACCCTATCTAATCTCACAGGCAAAGTGCGATAGCTAAATTTACTGTACAGTCCTATGTACTCAGGGTTAGGTACCGTTGTGTTCCTTGGGCTCTGAGGCCACAAATTTACACTGACTTTTGGGGGTGATCCTCACTGAACTCAGTGGGATTTACTTCTGAGAAGACATGAGCAGGGCTGTACTTTTAGCGTTATTTCTGCCTTTCAAACTGCCATAGTAATAGCCTTGGGGAAGATCACGTGATGATTTGCGTGCCACCATGTACTGCCAAAGCTGCAGGTTCCCTCATAATTCAAGAATATGGCCAACAATCTCGTGCTAAAGATGCTACAGACCATGCTGCATGTGCTGTTATTCAATTTGCATTACTAGACATACCCTGGAAAGAGGAGGAGGCACAGCCATCTATAGCTGGAGGTCTCACACTTTTCCTTTGCTTGAATAGTGTTTGGAGCAGTGGAGGACACCGACTGGGTTCCCATAACGTGACAAGCCATTGTGGGGACAGCCCAGTGAGCTGTCATGTCACCCAAACACAGACTGCTTCCCACACAGTGGCTTATTTGAGAGCAACAAGCCACACTGACAACCCTTGGTTCACTAAAGTGGTTGTTGTGCCCCCATGGGTTGCAGCACTGTTTGAACCCAGTCATTGTGGGTACCAAAATAAACCCCTTCCTGCTCTTGCTGAGCTCACCTGGGCAATCACCAGTGACAACCAGTGGCATATTGGAGCAGCTGTCACACTGGTTTGCCACTCCTTTTAATTTTTAAATTCAGTGATTTTGCACTATTTTTCTAGTTTATTTATATTTTTATTTGGACTTGGATAAGTGTGACTTAAGGAAGTCTCAAATGGGAAGCTTTGCATAGGTAATATCTAAAGTGCCGCAGGCATCATAATCATTGAGCTAGTGAGACTGAAAGTTGGTTCATTTTTTACTTTGCGCTCTCTTGACAGATGTCAAAAAGCTGTTAAGGGAAAGGAAAACCACAAGTAATTTTTCCTATGAAAGAAAGCAACCAACAGGTAACCCAATCAGGGTAAGATCCTCTCCCTGCATATATACTTTAATTGGACTTCACACTTTTCCATCCTTTCCTGAGACTTTAGGTCCTCAGAAGATAGCAAAGTGCCATCACATTTTCAGACAAACACAGTTTTGACAGATAGCTCAGACTTCCTTTTAAAATGGGCTTTTTGACAGGGCTAATCTGCCCCCCCCCTTCAAAAAAAGGACATATACATATGCATGTGCAAATGTCTCTGTCAAAGAAATCTGATTAGCCCTGTGAAAATCCCCGTTTTAAAAGGAAGCCTGACCTTTGAGAACTGTGGCTCATGTCCCCAGCTGCAAAGGTGTTGCAGTCCAATACATCCATAAGGCACCAGGTTGGAAAAGTCAAAAGAAATCATCATGGAGGAGGGCACCCCAAAAAAGAGGGTTTGCTCTATCTCTTCTCTGCCTATCTGGTCTAATACATACACTCTGATCTTGAAGGGTAAGGAGCTACCGTCTGGCTGTTCCAGTCTCCCGACCTCATCCCCTTCCTGTCTGCATAACACAGGAACAGACTGTTTCTTCAGAAGTAGGTTTCACAGGTCCAATGTTCCTTACTCCACAGTAAATATTTTGCAATCTCTAAGCTATCCTCCCCTGCTGGTACCCTCCAAATATATTGACTCCAGCTCTGGAAGTTGTAGATTAGCACATCTGGAGGGCACCAGGTCAGGAAAGATCACCCTAAGCACACAAAGCTGTAAGCACACGAAGTATTCAGCTGAATCCCATTCCTTGGTTTTGCAAAATCTTTGTGAACTCCTAATTATAAGGATTTTTACCCTATCTCTCCTTTATATAATGCCCCCTTCTATAAATTTCCCATTATTCAAACATTTCAAAAATCCCTGAAGCATTTCAAGAAGGAGATTGTAAAGTATTTGAATATGCATTGGAAACCAACCTTATCTCTGCAGTACAGCCATATTGCCTATATCTTCTCTGATCATTACGACTGTTTGCAGTTCTGCCCATGACATGACACAAAATTCACACAATAAATCTAAGTTATAAAAAATAAACCCCTTCATAATGGTTGCATTCAGACATAGTAATACGTTATTCTTTTCCAACATAATGCAACAAGTCTCAGTGAGTCTTGGATTCATTCCCTCCCTTTCTCTTCTCTTTCTCAGAGTGAAGATTGGAACCTTCTGCTTCCATTTTAGATTAACCGCAGATTAGTGTTATCACCAAAATTCTAGCCTGGGGTTAATCTTAACTATGTTGTTATGTGCTGTCATGTCATCTCTGACTTATGGTGACCCTGTGAATGAAAGCTCTGCAAAATGTTCCATCTATGATGCTCAGCTCTTGAAAATTCCAGGCTGTGGGTTCCTTTATGGAGTCAATCTACTACATATTTGGCCTTTGACTTTACCTCACATGATTGTCTTCCCCAAGGAGTTTGTGCCCAAAGTATAACAAACTCAGCTTTGTAATTTTTGCTTCTAGGGAAAGATCTGGTTTGAAATCTTAACTAAAGTTAATTGAAATAAGATTGTTTCATAAACTATATGGTTTGAAGTGGGTTTCTTTTTACTAACCATACCTGCAGTTTGACCAGGTTCAGCTGATATGGCGCACTGTGGTAAAAAATCTGGTTAAGGTCCTGAACATTTCCTCCTGGCCATTCCATAAAGCAGATGTGCAGAAACTCGGGCAGGGCCCACATCCATCCTCCTGTGGTCCCAATCCGGTCCTCTGGCATTCCCTCAACGCCCACTCTTCTCTCTTTTGGCCACACCCTCTTTTGCCCAACTGCGGATCATTTGGTGTTTCCTGGCTTTTGTGCACTTTGTTTCCATTCTAAAAGAGTAAATCCCATTCCTATGCCTTAGTTACTGAGCAGTTCTATCACTCCTGCCCTCAGTGTATCTAAGCCTCCAGACTCTGAGGCTTACTTGCATCCGCTGCTTCAAATGAAGCATGGCGGTATTCTCTGCCACCACCACACCTTGTGCTTTATTTATTTCCAGCTGTCCAGTTTAAATGCAGAGGAGAAGGAGAGAAAGAGGCTGGGGTGCCAGCAGGAATCAGCCTCAGTCCTGAGTCCAAGTCTCCTTCCCTCTCCACTCCGCAGAAATACCAGAAGGCTATCAGGTTGCCCCTGAAGAGCTTTAAGCTGAAATATAGGGACATTTTGGCCCTAGCCCTTTGTCTTTGGCCCCATTCATCACTAGAATGGAACCTCCAAAAGGTTGCAGAGCATCATGTTGACAATAAAGGCACCAGTGTGAGAAAACTCTGAATTGTGCTGAGGTTTAGAAAATGCAACAGAGGCTTCAGTTTCTTAAAATATAATCCTGGTTATTTTTATTTTACAGCATCAGATTAACTCTCAAGTTCAGCAAACAGATTCAAACATGCATAATGACATAATAAATTCCTTGCAAGAGAATTGTATCAGTTCAAATCTCACAGAACAAGGAATTTGCTTTGAAGCACCCCCAAGTGAAAATTGCTCCCATGTGTCATTAATTTTCTACATTTGAGAAAAAACTTGCTTCCAGTTACTAACACAGGAGCCATTTTGAAATGATGGCCCTTCCAATCAAATATCTTGAGGTGGTACAGGTCCTGCACATGGACTGTACCACCTTACATATGCATTTGGTCTGTACTCTCACATAAAGGTAAAGGTTTCCCCTTGACATTAAATTCCAGTCATGCCTGACTCGAGGGGGCGGTGCTCATCTCCGTTTCCTGGCTGAGGGAGTCAGTGTTTGTCCGCAGAAAGTCTCCGTGGTCATGTGGCCGGCATGACTAAACACCGAGGTGCACGGAATGCTGTTACCTGCCCACCGAAGTGGTACCTTTTCATCTACTTATATTTGCATGCTTTCGAACCCTCACATAAGATAGTGGCTAATTTTGCCCATCACTGAAACTTTTAAAAAACACAGCCTATCCCGTGCTGCAAATATCTCACTAGCTGTAAGTTCTTTAAAAAGCAACCATTCAAGAGCATATCTGGTGGATATAAAACCAGTACTGAGGGTCTGCTTCAATAATTTTGGAGATCTTTTTTAAAATACCCCTTTAACTGCAATGAACAAAAAAGTCCACTTCAAAGTAAGATGTTCCCTAGGCTGGATCACTCGGCATAGAAAGAGTTGGTGTAGTTATGATAAATGTCCCAAGCACCAGAATTAAAAGCAAACAAAAAAGCTAACAACTGTTTCAAAGGAATGCAAGATTAAGCACATCTAGGCAATTATCTGGGGAACTGTCTTGCTGGCCATGTACTGTCTTGTTTTTATTATGTAGCCCATAATGTCAGGCTTCTGACATTTATGTGCATGGAACAGTGGTATTTCTCAGAAAACAAAAACAAACAAAAAACAGGCCTTTCTTCTAAGGACTATTTTTAGTCAGGTGAAAAACAAGTTGAAATGTCTCGCCAGAACAGCGATGGCTGCTATGTTCATGCATGTGAGTGGGCAGTAGCGCTCTGACTTTAGCAGGTCCAGTTCCTTTCTTTGCAGATGAATCCCACCAGAGAGGTGGCTGGATGGTGGGAGGGGCTGTGAATCAAATGCAAGTGAATTCTCGCCTGTCTAGACAAAATGAACTTTCATGAACCCCTCCCCAGTCACATTCTCTACTACATAACCTATAAATAGCAGTGGCACTCTAAACACACACTCTCTCTTACACACACACACACAGAGAGAGAGAGAGAGAATGAGAGAGAGAGAGAGAGATTAAAAAGTTAATACGAAAGAAGAAATTTTGAACATCCTGTGCAAGGCACAGAATTGACTTGCTAGCATTCTGCGCAGATGCATGCTAAGAGCAATGGTCAGAATTCTGTTTTTTATATAAAAGAAAGGCCCCATCTTTTATTAGAAACATAGAAACATAGAGAGTCAGAAGGGGCTTCCCAGGCCATCTAGCCTGACTCTCGGCTCTAGCTGGCTCTGCTCACGACATGCCTAACATGTGCATGTCCAGCCTACCCTTGAACACCCGCACCGATGGGGCCTCAACCACCTCCCGTGGAAGCCCATTCCACACCCTCAGGGCCCTAACTGTCAGGAAGTACTTCCTGGCATCCAAATGGAACCAATCCAAATCCAAATCCAAATGGCTCCGTTGGAGCACGTCCTGCCCTCCTCTGCAAGGGAGAACCATTCGGCCGATGGTTCTCAAACTGCTGATTCCCAGGCCACTTTCAGTTTGGCATCAGTGCTGTGGGCAGCCTAGTGCCTCTTTGCTTGACCACCCTATAGGCCAGTGCGGTAGCAGGAATTGGTTAGAAAGCAAGGCTCATATTGTTTATAATGATGGTGTTTAAAACTGGGATAAATGAGAGAAACTGTTACAAGAGAAAATGAATGTAAAAGCAGATGAAAGACAAATGAGACCAGCAGTTGGGGAGAAATTGAGAAGAAAAGACAGAAACTAATACAGAACAATTTGACAGGTGTGTGTAACATGCAGAAAAATAATATATACTAAAAAAGGCTTTTTTAACTTAGAACCTCTAAAACAGCAAATTCAGCCCAAATGGGGAAGCTAACAATGGATAAATCCAGAGACAATGGGCAGGTTGGCAAGTCATGCCAAGTGAGGGTGTGAGGTTGCCATGACTGGTGGCAACTCAGCACATTTTCGGTGACGGACAAACGAAAATCCTGGTTGCTCCTGCCCCTTTCTGGCCCTGCCCCCCCACCCCCCACACACCCTCTGTCCTCTTGCCATGCATCCCAACAGCCCCCATGAGCAAAATCCCCTTTATTACTATATTGCTCCCTAGCTGACTCTTCCTGATTGGTCCAGCAAGGTTTTGAGGGAGGTTCTCCCCCTTCCCTCTCCAGATTGAACCTCCATCTTTTTTCATGATTCCTAGTTAATCCAGCCTCCAAAAGGAGTTTTCACATTAACATAAACTTTTTTTTCAACTTCTCCTTCGCCCACAGTGCATTTACCTGCTTTCCTCTGGTTTCAGAAAGTAAACAAGGTGATGGGCACAGCATTCAGCCAAGCGGAGCAAAGCAAGTGGTGATGCATGTGTGTTGGTAGGATGCTGCAGGCAGCAGAGTTCAGGTGCCTTGAGCAGACCCTCCTGTTGCTGTTCTTTTCATGGGCCTCTACGGTGTCTTCTTCCTACTAACAGGAAAATTCCATGTCCCCAGTTTAGGCATCACAACAGACAACAGCAGTAAGCAAAATTTATACAGTAGACCATTGTTTCCTGCTATGTTTCCAGGCCTGAAACAAGCCATGGTGATATACCACAACCAGACAAAACAACAAGCCCACAATGGTAAAAAAAAAAAAAAAAAGACGACTGATTGTTGTGACATAACCAACTGTATCTAGGGAACAATGAGTGCACAAGAAATATTTCAACTGAAAAAATCCTTGCCAGGGACTCCACAAGCTGCCCATGCTCCCCAGCACCGCACTGCAGCCTGCCAGTAAGTCTAGTTCATACTGTGGGCACTAGTATGCAATTTCCATGTGCAATTGCCTGCCTCATTTATAGAATTTTACAGATGCTGGTGGTGTTCCAAATGTCGTCGTCATCGTTGTCATCATCATCATAATCATCATCATCATCCAGTTGCAATCTTCCTGAACTTTTTCACTGCCTCTTCCATCTTTTTTTTCTCACTACAGAAACTATGTGAAGGACAAAAAGCTGGAGTAAATGCATAATGCCTTCTGAGTGTTATTGGTAGGAGCTTCCATCTGGAAGCCCCCAGTCTGCCACCATGTAATACTACACAATCCTTGCAAAAGCCTTTAAAAATAGATATATTCACTCTCAAAGTTACTTGTTCGTTAATTCCAAACTTACATTCATCCATCAGGACTCCTTTTCTTCCCACAATTGCAGGAAGGGGACATTATTTTAATTTTGTTTAAGCAGACTATTTCACCCACCCCACCCCCAACAGCATATGCCAGCCCTGGAATTCTCTGCTTCTTGATGGAGATCCTGTTACTGGTGGTATTAAAGAACTGAACCCAGGGCCATGGAATGTAGCCGTCTGCATGCTTCTCCACAATCGTGTGCCCCACTCTTGTATTTTTGTATCTGAAAACCTCACATGCAAACTGGCGGTAGGCAGCAGAATGAGCAGGCCAAAAATACAAAGCAAAGCCTTAGCATATGTTATAGCCTCTCAGGCTAAAACATGCAGAGAGGGTGGGGACGAGGGGGGAGAGAGAGAGAGGCAGACAGATATACACCCACCTTCCACATGCTCAGGAATTTTGTTCTCAGCTGTCTGTTCCTTGACTATCCTTCCGGTTGCTATTGCTTGATAAACATAAGACCATAAAGGTAGATTTTTTATATAGAACAGCTTTCCCCCAACTTGGTGCTCTCCAGATGAGAGGGACTACAACTCCCATAATCCCAGCCAGAATGGTCACTGTTACATGGATAACTTGTTTGTGAGAATCACCATTTCCTCTTTCTAATGTATTTGTGACATAAATATTGTATTATATTACAACCTGATGGCCTTGTTGACCCCTTCCAACTCTACTACTCTATGATTCAATAATACCTACTTGGTATTGGTTTTGCTTTCTCCTTTTCCACTTTCTCCTTACATTTTCTTCCATTTTTGGTTGCACAAGACATTCCTTCATGCTTTCTTTTAATGAAGTTCCCCTCCTCATCCTTCCGTACACACCATCTTCCTATTCAAAAAGGCACTCCTCACCATGTCCATTCAGAACAGAGTCCCACTGAGTTCAACGAGGCTTTACTTCCAGATGAGTGGGTATAAAATTGGAACTAATGCTGCATGCTGGATTTCCAAACCCAGAAATTGAGACTATGCAGATTATTTATCATGCTGAGTTGGATACACATGCATGGCATCTAAGAAAATGAGCACATATTCAACCAGGATTGGATGCAGATACACACCTGCGTTTCAATGCGGCTCTGAGCCAATAATCCTTATTAGGATTGCAGCATGTGGGCAGGGATGCTCGTTCCTCCTGATCTTGTGAAGCAGCAGAAAATGTGTGTCTCAGACACCACACAGTCCTTACTAGTGCAAAGTTAATCAACGACCTTTTCTATACAAGTCCTTTAATTCTACTTTCAATAGAATACTCAAACACACAAAAGCATTTCCTTTCCTGCTTTACCATGACATAACCTCTAGGTGGCAAAGCAGTACAGTAGAATGGCTCAAATATACAAGAGGAAATCTCACTTCCTTCATGTTCATATGCAAATGCCACATTTTCCCTAATTTACAAATTCTGACTGAAAATGCTGGTTATACACAGAAACAAAACGGGAGAGAACAATGGTACGCGATGAGTGTCTTGATTAGAAAAGCCCAGTAAACACAGCTTGTTATATGCACAGATCTCTGGATCAGGTCCATGAATATCTACCCTGACATAACCAACCTGTCTGTACATTATGTTCACAAGAACAATTTGAAAAGCAATTCCTGCTCTTCCTTGAGAGGTAAAACCCTCTAAAACCCTATGCAAACAATGACTCTTGTCTCTCCAAACTCCAAGCAAGTGCCTTCCTGAGGTCAAATTTTCAGAAGGCTACATATTTGTTCTGCTGTTTGGCAACATCTCCCCCTTCTGGACATATAAAGATATTGAAATCCATCAGTGCTTAAGTGCATAATTGGGAATGGAGGCTGCTGGTGGTGGTAGTGGAACATCTCCAACATCAGCCAGAAAATGGGATTCTGATCTGCCATTTCCACACAATGGAACTCTAAAGCTGAGATAGAGTTGCAGGCTAGCAGACTGTGTGGGTTTTTGACCCATCATTTCTCACAAGTAAAGGGTTCAGTTTCCAAGAACGGAGAGCTTCTGACTCACAGGACAACAATGTGACACTGTAGAAAGCAGCTCGCCATCTGGCATTTGCATGGGGTGAATTTACAAACGGTCAAGGTCAGCAAACACAGACAGCAACTGCACTCTTCTCCCTCCCTGACCTTTCCTTTGAAACTCAGAGAGAGATATATTATCAATTGTACTGCCTGAAGGATGCTGTGAGTCACTAGACAAGCAATGCCCTAGCAACACAGTTCTCCTGGCTGGATATCAGTCACATGAAGGAGACGGTGGCACAAGCTCCTCCTTTTCCCTGAGCAGTAAAGGCTGTGTGGGCCAAGAAGCACTGAATGTTCCCAACTACTCTCCTCCCAGTCAGGGCAACATGGGCAAGTGGAACTTCAGCTCTGTGCTGATTAAACAGTCCTAGAAGCTTTTGCAAGAGCAACATTCACAGAGAGTATTTCCTTAAGCAGCAGAACCTGATCCTCCCATCCAGTCACCATGAGTCAAGCAAATTTTTTGTTTTTATGGGGTTCAGGCAGGTTAACTCACTTTTCAGGGAACACTCTTACTCTTACAAAACATGAACATGCATTTACATTTAAATGCATGACAGCAGCAGCAGTTGCCACCAGTGCTCTTAAAGCACGGAATACAGACTGGCATAGATTAGTCTTCATGGTTTTATAAAAGCCAGCAGCAATGAGGCCATTTGAGGAGTTCCAAAGGTGTAGAGCCATCACTGAGAAAGTCATATTCCCAGCACTGACCAGTCTACCAGCCCACACAAGTAGACCTGGGAGCACCACCTCTTGATATGAATCCCAGTGCCTGAGCAGGTTCACACCAGCAAAAACTACCACCTCACCAGTTTTGTTAATGAGCAGCACAATCTTCTACATGTTTACTCAGTCAGAAGTATGTCCTGTTAATTTCAGTGGAGCTGCTCTCTGATAAGTGTGCATAGGATTTCAACCTAAATTTTTAAAAACTTAAAATCACTCTTTAATTGCAGCACAATCATATGTACAATTATTTAGAACTAAGTCCCATTAGATCATGGGACCTTCTCTAGGCAAGTATGTCTAGAACAGAAGCATAGGAAGCTGCACCAGAAATTCAAACACTACAGTGCTCCTTATTACAATATGCAAATAGTGTTGCTCATCCCCCCGCCCCCAGCAAAAATTTTCTCTTTTAAAACCTTACTTGCATCAGTGGAGCTATAAGCAATCAGCAACCAATGGGGTGCCAAAAGACAAGGAGAAATTTTGTTGTGGGTAGGGGGCGGGGGGGTACTCCCCCTGCTGCTCTCTTGATAATCCCAACCACTAAAAGTTTGAGAATTTTGCAAGAGAAAATGTTTCCCTGTTTCACAGAATGGGAATGTGACCACAAAAATGGGGAAGCATTTTCAGTTCCACTTCAAGTAGGATTAAACAGGTGAATGTCACAGACAGGCAATGCAACAGAAGAATAAAGGCAGAAAAATAAGCTCAGGCAGGCCTATGAGAGGCCTAAAAAGTTAAGGCAAGAAGTTTGGGTCAGAAGCAAAAAAGGAATGTAAGTGAATATCAGGCTTTGTGGAGCCTTGACTGATAAGTGAAAGAATCGACAGTAACCTCTGAACCCTTTCCTCTTCCACCCTGCAAGTGGAAGGCTGCCCTTCCCACAGAATTAAAGAAAACAGAAGATAGCATCATCCCTTATAAGCCAGAGTCCCCTAACGGTCTCCTGCTGAAAATAGTCCTGCTTCTCCTGAAAGCTCCAGCCCAGCTCTTTGTCAAAGGAACCCATTCCGGATTTTTCATCCTCCCCTGCAGCAGCTTCCCCATCCCCCTCACCCAGCAGATTTCTTCTGTCTACTTAGTGAATTTACCATACACACCTTCCCATTATTCTTTTAAAAATCTGCCTGCAACTCAAATAAAGTGGTATGACCTTGCTGACTGGAATATATTCTGAAAGAGGGGAGTGGGGGCTGCTAATGTTCTTTAGCTGAATTCCCAGAGAGGATATTGCTGAAGAAGGAAAGCAAAAGAAACTAGCTGGGAAAACGGAGCAGGGCAACTTTGCATACAGAGAATAAGAGAAACTAAGACCAAATTATGAGCTGAGGAAGTCCTGCCACCATCTCCATATCTCAGTATACCGAGGAAAGGAGAGGAAATTGGGTTGCCAGTGGCAGGAGAGAACAGACTCCCTTGCCCATCCAGCAAAAAACCCCTTTTTTCTGGCAGACTCATTTAAATGAAATAATCCATCCTGCCTGATTGCCAATTCTTACTTGCAAAGATCACAGACTGTTGGTGTGAGTGTTTGATGAAGGCTTCTGAGTTTAGGAAAGAGCAGTCCAAAGAAAAGGTTGCATTTGCAGGAACAGAGACAGGGCTGATGTGAAAGAAGTGGATGAGCTGTGATTTTTCTCCCTCCCTCATTATACTGGAGCCCATGAAGCTGAGTGGTAGAAGATGCAGGACATATAATAGGAAGTTCAGGACATATAAACAGGAAATATTTATTCACATAGTGCATGATTAAACTATGCAATTTACTTCCATGAGATGTAGCAATGGCCACTACTTTGGGATAGATTTAAAAGGGAATTAGAGGAGTTCATGGAGGAAAAGACTATCAGTGGCTACTAGTCCTGATGGCCACATACTATCTTTACCATCAGAGTCAGTTTGCCTATGGACACCAGTTGCTAGAGAACATGAGCAGGAGGGTCATGCTCTGATGTCACTGGACATTGTGAGGACAGAATGCTGAATTGAATAGACCTTTGGTCTGATCCAGCAGGGCTCTTCTTGTGTTGCTGACTGTGGAACACCTAAGCAAAGGGAAGAATCCATAATAATGATGAAGATGATAGTTGATATTTTCCTTAATTTCAATGCAAATCTCTTTTGAGATGCCTGTGTCAAATTTCTTTTTGAGCCAAAGTATTAAAAGACAGGGGCTGGAATTTTAATAATACAATAATTCCCTTTGTAAGTACAATCCCTATAATATAAATTGCCACTGCATGGCACTGTATGGGTCAAGTCATGTGCTCATCAACTCCCTTGCTGTATGCTGATATATATTAAATAATAGTTGCACAGCAGTGAGATGGCAATAAAATGTTTGCTTTCCCTTTCCCTTCAAGAACTGTATCAAATTAAAAGAGAAAGTTTGTATTACATGTTTGAACTTTACATGGCATTGAGATAGGCCAAACTAGATTATCTTGACTGATTGTTTAACATGCCACATACAGATGCTATGTAGATAAAATACAATAAGCTCCATGTACACTCTCCTGATTTCCACCGGGAAAAGGCAGCATACATGTGTAATAGGATAGTTACCTGATGACTTAAAGTGCCAATCTACCCTGCTAGTTTATCATAACCTACAGTCAAAATGTAGCTCTCTCATATCATTTTGCTGTCCCGCAGTGCCAGAAGATTGACAACACACTACCAAGCCTTCAAGTAGGAATGACAGGTTGTGCGGGTCTATACCCACACCCTACTCCATCCTCACTTTTAGCAGAGATTCTGGGACTATAAGCTTCAATAGAAAGCAGAAATTCAGCAGGGTGATCCTTTCCAACTGAGGTAAGAAGTGTTCTATTCATTGACTTCCTGATTAGCAGGAACCTGTTCAAGACTCATCAGGCTGACAGGAGCAGGGAGTAGGAAAAAAATCTGGCAGCTCTCCCAACAGACATTGCTCTGGATTGCTGGAAATAAGGGTCCTGAGCGTCTTTTCTGCCCTCTAAAGTATGTCACTACATGTACATTAAGAGGTAATTAATCTGAATGAAATGATGCTGGGACAACATGTTCTGATACTCATCTCTTGCCCATGTGTCCAAATTAGCTTACCATGGGTTAATCACAGGAAAGAAGCATTCATTGACACCAAGCATCAAATGGCCAAGTTTTGCTCCAGAGTACAGCTGGAATGTCTGTACTTTCGGTGTCACAGTCACAGTGTCGCCTTTCACAGCGGCTGGATTTGCCCAAGAAATTGTCTCCTGCTGCTAGAGGCCAACTCAAGCTGGGCCTTTGACAAGAAATCCAGCCAGCATGAACAGGGTGGGCAGACGGGTAGAGACAGACCCCAGACTGCATTGCCATGATGATCAGGGTCAGGTCAGCTCAGGAGATGAAACAGAATGTAATTTCACACCCTGGAGCTCCTAGGCCTGGATTGCATGTTGTGAAATTACACACATTCTTCAGCTGGAAGAGTTAGAAAGTGAGAGTAAGGGAGAGAGAAAGAGAGACACTTGACCTCCTGTCCTATATGCAATAAATTGAGAATATACGTAAATGCTGTTGAATTCCACAGTAGTGGAACTTTCTTCCCACAAGCCTGACATGGATGGAACTGTTAGTTGCAATCAACACCACCCTTCCTCCGGTTGATGGCTTGTACTACAACTCCCAGCATTCCTAATCATTTCCTGTGCTGCATGAGGTTGATGGGCATTGAAGTCTGGAGGTAGTCACCAGGTTGTGTAATACTTTAAAACACATTTGGGAGCTGTTCCAACAGATACAATAAGACTTACAGTCAAGCAAACCCACATCATGTTGGGCTCTGAGACTTTGATGTCCCCCACACACACATCCCTCAACTCACTCCAACCTGGTACCCTGAGAGCTAGGTGATTCTGAGTCCTGTAGCCCAACTCATTTGAAGGCCCACTGACTTACTATATTTATTTCCCACCATTTTTCCTACAAGTAATTCAAGGCAGCTAACATAATCCTCCTCCTCTCCATTTTATCCTCACAACAACCCTGTGAGGTAGGCTTGACTGAGAGAGCCAAAGTCACCCAGTGAGCTTCATGACTAAGTTGGGAATAGAACCCAGGTCTCCCAAGGCCCAGTCCAGCACTCTGACCCCCATACCACACCAGCTCTGGAGAGCAAACTCCTACTGAGTTGGGAGGATGACCCATAGCTCAGTGGTTCCGCTTTGCATGCAAAAGCTCCCAGTCTCAGTCCCAGCCACCTCCTGTTAGAAAAGACCAGCGGGCAATGAGGAGGACCTGAGCCTGAGGCCCACTGCCAACTGGGACAGAGTTTGACCTACCTTCCACTGAACCCGGCAGGAATGGGCTTCCTTGCACCCAGACTGGGGCACCAGTAAAAGGAATCCATGTAGTTTGGACAGGATGGAAAACACTTCTGAGAACAATGGGGATTTATATTTTCTATAGTGGAGGAACCACGGTTTTATCTTCTAGGGAAGGGCCAGGGCATACCTGTCATCATGATCTGACATCCTAAGGCTAACTGACAGTCTACAGACTCTTCCTCGCCCATTCCGTCTTGGGAATCGCGTGCAGACACTATGACTTCACCGTGAAGTCAGATTTTAACTCTTTTCTCCCTTCGCCCGCCCGCCCGCCCGCCCGGCCTTTGATAACATCTTGCCCAAAACGGCACTCTTGGAGATCTCAAAACCCTGCACATCCGTTAGGTAACACGACTTTCAAGCGTTTGCTTATGTACCCGTTTTTTCCTCAGACTGTTCTCACGTTTTCTGCGCCAGATGTCGGGCGACAGGTGGCGCTCTTGCACTCCTTTTTTTTTTTTTTTTTTCTTAAACGTCCTGTCTGGGAGAGACCATTGCGGCTAGAGCGGATAGGTGGCCAGGAGCGCGAGCGAGCTCCGCTCAGCCTAGCCTAGCCTAGCCTCCCCTCCCCTCTACTATCTGCAATCAGAGGTTCCGGCGGCAAGTGAAGACGTGGCTCTCGGCGCCTCTGTTTCCGGTTCCGCTGCGGGCCAAGGCCTGCCAGCGGGCCTTACCTCGCATTGCATGTTCGCCGACGGCGTCCTCAGCCCGCGGAGGATGAGGAAACCGCTGGGTGCGGGTGGCGGCTGAGGAAGCCTTCGCCCGAGAGCCCCCAATGGAGGAGAAGTTCAGCGGCGGCGAGGCCCTGGCCGGAGGCGGGCGGCTGGGGCCCGTGGATGTGCCCAGCGCCCGGTAACGGCCCGTCCCGGGGACGCTTTGCTGAGGGAGGCGAGCAGGCACGGGAGTGAGGGTCCTCTCCTTCCCTTTGCTTCACTATGCGAGGGACTGAGGGAGGCATTGCAGCTCTTACTACGACCCCTTCCCACCTCGAACCTCTAGAGGCCTTTCCGTAAGCCTCCTGCAGTGGGATCGAAAGCAACCAGGCATCCGCTTACGCGAGGTCCAGACACCTGTCCTGCCTGGCTAAACATAGGCGAGCGATTAAAAGAATAATTGGTCTCCTGTTCTTTTTGACCTGAAAACAATGGAGAGTTCTGTAGCACTGACAAATATATTACGGCTAACAGTATATTTGTTAGTCTTTAAGATGCAATAAGAATCTTCGTTAGCATTGCTGCAACAGGCTAACACATCTGCTTCTCTGGATTTTTAAAATAAAAGCACAGAGGCGTTGTTAAGTTTACAAAGAGCTTTCTGGGGTGAGTCTGTTGCAGTAGAATCCTTGTAGAAGAATCCTACCCAGTTTCCTGTGGCATGAGTTGAGAGGAGTCAAAGTTCACATTGTTGAGCATAGCATCAGCAGATTGTCAAAGCAGGCCCTAGTGTGCAGAAGTTTATGCTGTTAAAATTGCCAGAGTATGGCCCTCATAGTTCACGCTGCAAGAAACTTAACAAAGTAGAAATATATTTAACTTTGTTAATGCAACACTGGGAGATTGAGCAGGTTTGGGGTGTCAAGCTGGAACTGTCAGTTTTCACCCCGCAAAGCTATTTTAAAGGAATGGGAGCCTTCTTTCACCTGGTGGTTGTATTGCCTGGTGAAGACCTAGCACTGGATCATGTATCTAAACACTGCATTAGATGAGAAATATTTCATAGAGACAACATCAAATTCTTCTATGTAATTCATTGGGTCATTTAATGTGTTGCCAAGTTGTACACAGTCCTATACATTTCTGCATGTAGATTTTAATGTGAAGTTGCTGCAGGTTTGTACATTGCAGTGTGTACATGCACTGAAAATTCACAATAATACGTGTACAAGCATTTGCATGTAGTTTTAGTGATCATGTGTGGCGATTTTCAGGCCTGAGAAACATGATTAATAAAAGAGTTGGATTGTATGTGAAGTAGCCTAAAAGCCTCAGAAGCTTCTAGATCTGGAAACCTATTTATGGAATCTGTTATTCCAGTTACAGAATTCTTTTAAATGTTGTGCTTCTGTCAACCAACTGTGCTGGTTGCTGGTATGGCAGCAGGATTTTGAATTACACATTATTACATGTAGATGTGTTTGAGCAACCTTCTCCCTCTCACTGTTAACAATCTGTAGACTAGTTGTCTTCAAACTGTAGTATACAATTACAGTATCCCTTAGTTTTCACAGTCTGTTAGTTATATGTTGTGTGTACTACACAATCATCTACAGCATTCCATAGATTTAGTTGGTTGAGGACCTTCCCAGACCCAGTGTTCAAATTTTGCTGTATGTGCAAGTGAGAATTTTGGCTAGCTAGTTTGCAACCCTGACTGCTTTTTAGAAGGGCAAGGACTAAAGCTGAAGCTCAAATACTTTGGCCACCTAATGAGAAGGAAGGACTTATTAGAAAAGATCCTGATGCTGGGAAGGATTGAAGGCAAACGGAGAAGGGGACAGCAGAGATTGAGGTGGCTGGATGGGGTCACTGGAGAGGTGGGTGTGGGCTTGGGTGTACTCCAGGGGATGGTGAAGGACAAGGGAAACCTGGAGAAATGTTGTCCATGGGGTCGCAAAGAGTCAGGCATGACTTTGTGATCGCATAGTTTTATACACTGCTGGACTGAACTCATCCCAGAATAACACATTTTTAAATCTTGTATATGAGACTCAAGACACTCACAGCTTTATGGTATGTAGAAATATATGTATATTGATGCATCAGGTGGAAATTCTCTTTTTCATAGCATTCTAGTTGAAGGATGATTTGTAGAGTAAGCTTGTGCATTCAGGGCCCATTGAGTTTCTTTAGTCATGTTTTGATCAGCTATTGCAAATCAGATATAATTTGGACAGCTAGTTATTAGATAAATGGTTATGATAACCTTTGGGCAGTTGGAGGTAAATTATGTTGAGTTCACTAACTCAGTGCTTTCCAGGTTACCTGAAATAAATGTATATCCTTATTTGAAAGTTTAACAGTATTTCACAGCAACTCTCTTCTTGTTTTGTTTTTTTCCAGCCTGACTAAATATATTGTGTTGCTGTGTTTAACAAAATTTTTGAAGGCTTTAGGATTGTTTGAATCCTACGACCTCCTAAAAGTAGTCCACCTTGTACAATTTATCTTCATAGTAAAACTTGGGTAAGTTACTTGTACTTGAACAGCTTACAGCATTTTCAGCACTTCCTTATCGATATAAGTTTTGTATCCAGACACCTTTGGTTTTTTCTTTGTTATAGAAAATTTACTATTGAGTCTATGGGGCAGGGGAGATGTGGTCTTATTGCCAAAGTATGACTTTCTTGTCTTCATTCCTTTTCACTGAAGCAGTCGGTGTGGGCTCGGGTGGACTCCGGGGGAAGGTGGAGGATAGGAGAGCCTGGAGGAGTGTTGTCCATGGGGTCGCGATGGGTCGGGCACAACTTCATGAATAACATAAAAATAACACATGGCCATTTTTGTCCTGCACTAATATCTTCACAAAGCATTGTTGTTGTTGTTGGTCGTGAAGTTGTGTCCGACCCATCGCGACCCCATGGACAACATTCCTCCAGGCCTTCCCACAAAGCATAATCAACACCAAATTGTTGAGACCATGTTCAGAAATATGTTTGCAAACAAGTTTGAACTAATTATGTGTGGTGAAAATTTGAATGGAAATGTGTACAGTGTTTCCTTGTGATGCATCAGGAAATTTTTCTAAGAACTGATACACTTCGTGTTATTTCTTGTGTTCTACTAATAGTAAAATGCTGGTTATGTATACTCCTTACATTACAATTGTCTTACGTAATCATTGTTCATGTCTGGTGTTTTGAAAAGCACAATCCCAGTCTGCTTTCTGCAGCATGTTACAAATCATAAGCATGCATAACTAAACATGCAGTTGTCTGTGGCTGGATTGAACTTGATAGCATGAAAAGAGCTGACTGGAAGCCTCCTGCAATGATTGTCACACATGCTGTTCTTTGCTGCACGTGTACTTTAGAGCCACAATCAGTCGTGGTTTCCCAGATTAAGGATACAGCAGCAAATCTCCATGTTTAATGCTCATATTATATGTGTTTTCACATTAATTATTACCCAGAAGAACAGTCATGGAGGACATTTGGAAATGTGTGAAGTATTTATTGCATTGTGTATCATCCAATAGCTTAAACTCAATTATTAGCCATCAATCAGTATGAAGCTAATAGTTGTGGGTTTGTTTTCTTTTTGTATGATTGTGATGTAAATGTACTGATTCTGGAAGACTGTTTTAAACATAAATGTTAATAGCTTCTGTACTACTCCTTTCAGCTGCAAAGGCTCCAAAGATAGGCAGTATGACAGTCCCCACCCTCAGGCTTGTAATCTAAATTTAAAACACAGCATATAAGGAATAAAGAATGAAGAGAAAAGGATTTAATTAGGGCATAATTAAAATGGGTTTTTAAAAAGCCTGCTTGAAGTGATGGTGACACCGTTCTTCCTCTCCCACTCATGAAGGAGATAATTGTAATGGCCTCTGCAAAGGGAGGAGAGTTGCAGTCCCCAGTTGGTGAAACTGGCACACAGAAAAGGTGGTGATGGTATACTGTCTGAACAATGACTTTTTCTAAACTGAATTCACATGATCTAATAAAATCCCTGTTTTCATAGGTCTGCATTTTTTATGATTTTGTTTCAAAAACCATTTTCATCTGGAAAGCCTGTCACCAAGCATCAGGTGAGTAGAATATTTATTATATACACCCTGTTTGTTAGGGGTAGCATACCCTTAGACTCATTGAAATGAATGACCCTTGTGTGAGATTGTGAGTGTTTATTTCAGTGAAGCTTGTACAGTAGTTCCTCAATGGGTTTGTTTTGCACAGAACTTTACAAAATTCCACCCTGAAAGAAAACTTCACTTTTCTGTCAACACAGCATGTCTAGAGGTTTAGGAATAAATTTATCTAGTCCTTTTCATGTCTTGTTTAGAAGTGTGGAAAGAGATGTGTTTTATGCTCATCTAGCTCTGTTTTTTACAGTGTGCATTTTTCTTTAGTACTACTAATGTAATAACAGGGAATGCGTCACCCTCCAGTTGTTGTTGAACTGCAGTTTATTTATTAATT